ACACGTTCAGGCTTTTCATACGGCAACATCTGGAACCCAAAACTTTCAATGTATGATACGGAAGTTATTTTGAAAACTACTTAATATCAGAAGTACGTCTAAAGGTAAACGACAAGCGGATCCGATATCCGTGGCCTACACTAATGAATGTCCTATAATTCTTCGCGAGTGTTGCTGTATGTTTAAAATTGAAGTTTATTGTAATATTGATGTTTTAATTCGGGTTTATTGAAATACTACTGTTGTGTGTCACTACTTACATATAACAGGATGCAGACATCGATCGTCGACTCGAAGCTTTGACTGTTATACTATCACAATGGTTAGAGTCGTGGGAGACGCTAGCAAACCAATGCGAATAGGACAGTAGAGAGGCAGAAGAGGCAACAAAAAAGAGGATAACGAACTTTTTGGAGGTCTGACATCTGAGACATTCTTGGCTGCGATACACACCTGTCGAGCCATAGGCAGCCGAATTAAGTATCAACTTGATGAACTAGGATCCGTTTATGTCATCCCGGGTGATACACGCAACGATCGCATCGAGCTTTATTTTGGTGCTGCTCGTCAGACTAATGGTGAGGAACCAAATTTATATGTCGCAGACATGTGTGAACACGAACGGAAACGATGTGTGTGTAAAGCTTACCTCGCATCATCATATGAACAAACGGTATCCTGTAACAACAGACAGGTTCGTGAGGTATTTGACATACAACCAAACGACTACATCGATGACACAGCGAAGGAACTTGCACATAATATTAATATTACGCCTGTCCCATATCACGATAAGCCAGGAACCGAGTTGGAGATGTATAAGAGACCGGTGCAAACATACATAGCAAGTGTTTGTGCCAAAAACAAATAAATCATGGTTGTTCTTAAGAAGGCTACAAGATTACAACAGTGGCGTGAATCATGCTTCGCATGTGTAGAAGTAGATAGAAACCTGCCTATGTGTGACTTAGGAAGCGTCGAGACAATGGAATATCCGCGCAAACTGATAGAGTACATCGAGCATGAGAAGCTTACGTACCCTAGTCCAGCTTTGAATGCGTTATTCGTAGTATGTGCAGAAATACCGGTTACACTCACAACATATAAGGAAGTGAACGTCTTGCTTTGTTCAGACAATCCGTAAGTTAGTGGACAAGCGTACACGGCTACAACCAGAGTGTGCGTTCCTGTTATCTCAAGAGATTGCGGACGCATGCGTGAATCAGAAGCATATTTACCAATACTTACTAGTCTGATTAACATTGCCGCAAACAATATGGTGATATGTATAAATAGGCTTTACTTGGCAAAGAAATACATGAAGAAGTATAAAATCAATGTTGCTAGACGAAGTAGGGCAGAGGGCTTACAAGTTTCATCGAATGGAGAACTCACCGACAATAACCGAGACTGGATCGTCGTCTCGCTTATGAGAGGTGACGCCATGAAGCAGGAGCTAAGGGAGCGTTGCAACTGTACCTCATCAGGAATAGCGGTTGCGGTGCTTCGCAGAATGCTAGTTATATCACGTGATCTAGGTACAGCGTCGGCGTTCGTGCTATATGCATCAGGACCACACATTAACTTCCTCTTGGACAAC